CCATCAGCTTCACACCCTTCATTATCCCTTTCTTTCCTTTTCCATCTTCTTTGTACACTTTATTTATCCTTCCCCCACCTCCTGCCTTCCTTCCTTCCTTCTCGCCTTTCTTCATTTCTCTGTGCTTTCCGTCAGTTATAGCAGCGGTCCCCAACCCCCGGAGTCATTTGGTACCGGGCCATGTGAGTTGAGGCTTAGGTGTGAAATTTATGTTTTTCAGGGTTCTTATCAGTTTTTATCATTATTTTTTATTGTTTTTATCGTTAACTGGGTTTCCCTGGGTCTTTTCCCGTGTGACTTTTTTTTGGTACTTGGTATTTTGTTGTATTTATCTGCAACACCTTAATTTTTAAAGGCCGGTCCGTGAAAACATTGTTGGACCTAAACTGGTCCGTAGCTCAAAAAAGGTTGGGGACCGCTGACTTAGAGCACTTATTCATTGCTTTTTCTGGCCTTTTCCTTCACCTTCCATCTTACCATCTTTTCACCTCCATCTGACTCTTCCTCCCTTTTCACGTTTTCCATCCAACAAGCAGAAAGGACTTTCTGAAGTTTTAATTAACTCTGTGAATATATTTTAAAATCTATTTATCTATAATAGCATAATCAGTGAATCAGCATTTTCAGAAAGCTTAAGGTAAGAAATTAGAAAAACTGGACTGTGGGAACTGCTTAACCTACTCAGTATTTATTTTACTTAATTGATTAACTCATCAATGTAGCCCTAAATAAAACTTTATTACAAAAATTACATTTACATCAAGATAAAGTTCAGTTTTAGCGCTCTGCTCCTGACTTCTCTGCCACAGCGCTGGAGTAGGGAGTGATGAAGCTGCCGGTCAGATAGTTTAAGAATTATTCCACCATAAAGTTGGACTCCAGCACCGAGCTCTGCCTCGGAGGGGATCGATTTGTCGAGCAGTAAAATACTGCCGCTCCAGAAAACCCTCCGCTGTTCCACTCAGACGTAACGGTAAGTGTCTTAATTAAAACCGGCTCTTCTAGGATGCCATAGACAACATGACACCAGCTCCCTGATTGGCTATAGGACAAGCATCTCTTCCTGTTTTGGGAGGCGTCAATAAGTGAGTTTAACAACCAGTGAGTTTTAATGGAATCTGTGTGTAAAGCTCCTTCATCAATAGGCCTAATGGCCAGTCGTAGCCTGGCAGCCGGTAATCTGCCGGTTAGAGCTGGGTTATCTGACCAGACCAATTTCTTCAGGGTTAGTGAGTTTAAAAAGCTGGTTTCAGACCTCATGGAGGGTCACTGGCAGTTTGTGCCAGGTCCAAATAATGAGCTGCAGCAGCAAAACAAAAATTACATACAGGATATTCTTACATCTTAGCGCCAGAATATTCAGTTTCTACACTTTGTGTTGTAGATTTCATTTTAAACAGGCAAATTGTCTCAGATTGTCAGTTTTAATTAGCCTTAATATGCAACTAGAACAGGACCATTTAAACTAACTATTTAAAATCAGCTGTGTTCATTATTCATGCTGCACATCGGGACAAAAACAAACTCTTGAAGTCTCCACAATCTTTACCTGATCACAGAAGTGTATAACTGTAGACACCAGACCAGCCCAGGCATCAGGGACAACAGATGTAATATTGATATTATGTTCCTGCCTTGGTGTAGATTCACAAAGACATTCGATGGCGCGCTGAGTACAAAGATACACTTCTTTATAGTCTTCCAAAAAGCCAGTAACTACTCAACAGGAAGTGATGGCATCCAATTGTTGAAATAGAGTAGTTCACATATTTATGAAACTGCCCCCTGGTGATGATAAACAGCTACAACAAGCAGACAAGGCTTTGCAAAGCTCTACCAAAAGCATAGCATGTAAAAGGGGAGGTGTAGTAGATGGGTTAGAAAATGACCTGCAGACATGGTGGACATAAATAAGTTTGCTGCTGTCTGTCACTTGGCAGATTAGCTCTTGCAGGTCATACTGTTGGGCACAACAGATTTAACTGCAGCTTCACATTGGGTTCAACAGGAGTTAAGATGTGAAAGTAAAATCTGCTCAGTGATTGTCTGCATCAGATAAACTCATAAAAACATGTCGTCAGTTTAATCCTCATCACTTTCATGTTCTTTTTTCCCCCCAAGCAAAGACCTGGTGGCCCTGCCGGACTTGGCTGATCATGTCTTCTGTGCCCCCTAACCTCTGACCTGTGATCCTCTACAGCCTCCCACCACCACAACCAGAAGCCCCTCTCCACCCACGCCCACGTCCTCCTCCTCCACCTCCTGTCCCACTACAGCCAACAGCAGAGAGACTGATGTCCGGTCAACCGACGTCTGACTGACCTTTACCAGCTCAGCCACACGGGACTCATCTATCTCTGTGTCTCCCTGCATGCCTCAGTCCACCCTCCCTCGCTCTCTCTAATGCTAATGCAGCTGTTTATAACTGCCACATTGACTTTCTCCTGCCACTGTATGTAAATACAATCTGCTCTGATCAATGGACTGAGAGGTGACATGACGCTGACCACAAGCACACACGCACAGAAAAAAATCCACACAAACAGGCAGACACACAACTAAGTGCAAAACGCGAGAACAGGATGAAATTTAAAAACCTATTATTTGTTGAATTAGTATCAGTTTTTCCCCCTGCAGAATACAACAGGAAATCCAAATGATGCAAATAATACAATTACTGCCGGGGTCTTGAATAAGAAGACTAACATAAATGAATCAGTCTAACAATTCAAGTTAGTTAATTTAACATTTTAACAAAAGGAAGTCTGGTCCTCATGCCCTCATTTCAAACTATGTGACTGATGTGTATTCGACCACACAGAAACTCTCTTTTAAAAACCAGCTGAGTCTTTCCAGGTATAGAAAGAGAAAGAGAATTCAATTTGTAGACATCGTAACGTAAAAACGCACATAACATAACCCCCTTCTATATACTTCCATCATGTGATAACATTGATAATGTGATGGTTGTGATGCTAAAACCAGTGTTATAGTCACAGATAAACATGAGGCTCCATGAGGACATCCCTGTACTCTCCAAATGTCCGCAACAGACTACACTTTATTCCACCAATTGCCCATACATCATACAAGCAGACTCCAAGTGCACATGAAGAACGTATAACAGGCGCTTGACTACGGTTTCATGGTTTTTTCACATGTATGTCAGGATACAAGTATAACCTAAGAGTACCTCCAGCATCTAGCTAGCTGTTTGTTGTTTTCCATTTCCTCTCCTAAAACTCGATTTAATGAGCTAACCACCTGTAAAAATGCACCATTAACTCCCGGGTAAATAAGCAAAAAGCAACCCCAGTAATGTTATTGATCTCAATTCAAAGATACATTTCAAAATGTGTCTTTACCAGCCAAAAATAATTAATCTTCCTCGTATGGGTTTTGATTCCTGTGCATCGGAGCAGCCATGAATCTTTTTGGAAGGATTTAATGACACTTATTGCACAAATGCACAAAGCCATGAGGCAATCGTGGGTGCACGCATAGATATAAAGCTCTCCCCTCCTTACCTCCCACAGGTGTCGGGTGTTCCTGACCACTCCAGACTGCAGTTTTTCCAGCATCAGGGGGACTCCTTGAAACGGGCCAATCCAGGTTCCCTGAGGGATCCTCTGAGCTGCACAGATTCCGTAACCCAGACCAGGAACTGTGCTGGTGCACAGACACACCTGCATACAGAGGTCAAAACAACGTGACACCAGCAGCTGCAGTCAGCTAAAGGTGAGACGTGTGTAGTTTGTTCTGTAGAAGAATTTACTTACAAACTGTAGCTGTGATTTATTATATCATGGTCTTACAGCAGCCTACTTATCAGACATGTATCACCCAGTGGAAGTACTAGTTTCACAGTATTTGTATAGTTTTATTTATTTATCTATTGTGTGTTTTTTTGCAGTGACTGTGTGTTGTTGTTTTTTTTACTAAGCTATACTTTCCACCACTGACACCTCAATTCATCAACCAAAATGACCCACACCTGTTTGAGCCCAGTTACTGTGATTGACATTGTGTGTGGCCAATAAAAAATAAGCATTCCTTGGGCATGGACCAGTTGGATACCTGGAAGTAGAGATGAACGGACTTCACCCAGATACAAAGCAGAGGTAGTCATGATGAAGGTAGATGGCAATGGAAAGATAACCAACAGGGGATTGATGGGCTTACTATGTAGATGTTATGATTATTAAGCTTTTAAAGCTTTTTGGTGGTGTTAAATTAGTAGATAAAGATATTAAATGTTGCTACCAAGTGGGTGCACAATGAGGTACATTTATATGATTACTATTAAATAAAATTTTGCAGGCACTACATTGAATTTAAGTATTTTTCAATAAATAATGAACCACTCAAATATCAGAGAAGAAAGGGGGATTTTACTTGCTCTGAACCAAACTGTTTTTAGTTAGAGGCTGCATATAGGAAGTGGGGCTCACCTCTCTGGGCAGGTCTCTCAGCCAATCAGGGATGTCTGGTAGGGTGACAGGTGCTGCCGTGCTGCTGGTGCCGACGAGCCGGCGCAGAGAGTGAAGAGGGCCGTGCATCGGACACTCACCGTTCCTGTTGTCTGCACACATGTCACAACCTGGCAAGGAAAGAGAGACTTTTTAACACCAGCAGATGGAAAACTGAAAACAAAACAACATAACATACCATAACTGAAGACATTTGTTTTAAATATGATGAAACTCATTTTTAAAAGGGCAAAAAGTGTTGTTTGGGTCCTGGCTGCGGGCTTTCAAGTGTTTACACATGTGTACTCTGTCTTCATTTGGAGATCAACACACTTATGAACTGTTGTAACCTTATGACAACTTGTGTTCCCAGACTTTTAATTAATACAAGAGCATGAAAAATGTGTTGCTTTTGGCACAAAATGTCAAAATCATTTCTCACTGAAGTTAAACTCACTTGTGCTCACTCACTCCTTTAAATTAATATTTTAATGTTTTGCAGTTTTCTAGTGTTTATTATTTATTGTTGAAAAGAGATAATTTATTTTGAAAATCTAGGAAGTTCCCTGGAATTTCCTTTCAAAATTTATTGGAGTTTTTGTTTTGATAGCATAACAAAATTTCAAAATCCGATTTTTATGTGAACCTTCTGATTTAATAACTGTATGAATGCATTTTATCCGTTTGGATTGTTTATGCAGAATTCCATTAAAAACCTGCAAATTCCATTTTGAAAACACCAATTGAAAAGTTTTAACTGGAAATGTGACTGAATGCTGGCACAGTTATACAGATTTTGTACTGATATATACTTTTTATTAATTACCAGCTATTTAAAAAATCCCCTTAGCACACACATTAAGTCCCAAGCCTCCAAATTGCAGTTCATTATGATGTAAGTGGATGAAAAACTGACATATCTTTTTGTATTTTTACTTGTAACTACACGACTGGAAGAAAATCCACAAAGCAGTCATTGCAAATCTAATCTGGAATCTTTATGTAACAGTAAATAAACAGTTTCAGAGTCAAAATTGAAGTACGAATGATTAAATCTTTCTAAGCAGTGGTTAATCCTTCAGACTGAATGAAAAACTGAAACTGAAGAAAAAGCAAAAGAGGAATAAAAAGCAGGAGCCCTGATGAAGTCCAAATGAGGGGGAAAAAGTCCTCTCCTCTGTGTTTTTCCAGGTTAAATGTGGCAAAGAGCGTATTGCTGGGAGTTAGCGAGTGTCAACATTTACTCAGAGATGCAGTCTGACAGTAATGGATGTTAATTGACTGTAGCAACATAATGAGAGATTATTATCTGCGCAGAAAACTCCCACAGAACAGAGCAGCTGAGAGGAACAGGATGTTAATGTTGTTTTTCTTCTGTCTTTCCCAAAATTAAATATCCGTCATTTGATCGACTGACGGCTGCTTTTACACCATGATGGATTGAAGTTAATTAAACCATATTATGGTCATTTATAAAGCAAAAAATGTAACTCTGGGTCACGGTCGAGTAAATGGGAAAAATTCTCCAGGATCCTTGACTTATTAAACCAAGATAAAATAAAAACGTCACTTTTATTTCAGCTCAGGGGTAAAAGTAAAGTCTGCGACAACGAAAAACACCACAGAGCAGCCACTTAAGATATTTCCTCTCATGACTGCTTCATTCATGTGGGTAAACAAACAAACCAAAGAAAACAAAAGAAATAACTAAGTAAATACATATGTGTGTGTAGGAGTCCCGACACATGAGCCAACAAAAGCTCAAAGCGGAGCCTTGACAAACAGAATAACTGAAGCAGGGAGAAGAAAGATTAAATCTAGATCGCATGGAAAAACGAGAGGATTTTAATAAGGTGCAGCAGCTAATGTTTGGACATAGAGTATGTCTTCATCAGGATGTGAGGAGGCAGGGGGCATGTGGATGTTTAAACTTTTACCCAAAGAAATATTGAACGCTAAGAAGACATATGGAATAACAGAAGAAAAGAAAAGCATCTTGATTTTTTTAGGGTACAAAGAGATCCCAGAGGCCCAGGATTGGAGGGCTCTGGTCTTCACCTGGAACAAAAAGAAGAAAAACACAAACACAAACATGATCTTGAAGACCCAAAGACAAAAAAGCACCAAAAGGAAACACAAATGTGAGCACTGTTACTTAATTTAGGAGAATAGAAAATACATACAGAGTGAGAGTCAAATTCTATATATAAGAGTTGGACATAGCCGCTGTGATGTCACTCTCAGGTTTAATTTATTTTAAATTTCAGCTCCCTTCATAGTGTTAGTAGAAGAGAGGACGGAGAGTTGAGTTAACAGTTGTGCAAGCTGTTGCCTGAGAGTGCATGGGAGACACACAAACCCATCCATCCATTTCATCTTCTACTACTTATCAAGCCACAGGGCAACAGTCTAAGCAGAGATATTATTTTTCGGTCCAAGTGACCAAAATATTTTTGCACCCAGATGTAAATATGTTGATTTCTGCTGTAAAACTTAAAAGATTTATAATGTGAGTCTGTGGAGATCAACTGGCTTTTAGAGCGAGCCTCCAGTGGCCAATCTAGGAACTTCCGCCTCTGCCACTTCCTCACTGGCTTCATTTTTCAGACCCAGAGTTTGTTCCTTGCTTTAAACACGCAAAAAGTCCCGCAGACAGAAGCAGACATAAATCTACTGGGGTGCACTGGCCCAAACCTGGGTGCTGAAACCGAACCAGGCCTGTAAGTTGCACATCTGGCCATCATTGTCAGTGCTACATCCATCTGACTGCTAGAAACACAAAGAGTTTGAGGCAATCTCCTGATTCAAGCTTGTGATCCTATAAATCTGATGATAAATATCACTGGTTCTCAAGATTGTGGTGTTCCAGTTTTAGCACGTGAGAGGATCCTTCAGAGGGTTGTTGTATTTAAGTTGAAGTTACTCAGGTTTATATTTCATATGTGCGTGTGTGTGTGTGTGTGTGTGTGGTTTCTGGAATAAAAACATAAGAGAAACCACAACAATAAACAACAATGGTTTGGCTGAATAGGCCTTTATGTCATCTTTGCAAGCTGTCAGTCCTGCACGGCTGTCGATATCTTTAAGAATTAAAAAAAAAACTAATACATATAATAAAACTACTATAATGCCAAGAAATTAATATGCTTACGCTACATTGGATGTTTCTATCTGAAGAACACGAATGAGCCACATTTTACCAACGAGTCTATCAAAACACATCAAATCACTGGACCTTCTGCTTCGACACTGAAATAACAAATGTAAAGCATATTTACATGTTAACTGAAACATACAATCCCAAACATCTCCATCAAACAGAGATCAAACAAACTATGAGCCAGGTTATCAGTTAACCCCTCAGAGGAGCTGATGCACTCCTGACATGTGTGCACACACGCTGAAAGAGAAGAAACTGTGGTTTATGAATCTATGAACTACAAACCTTCTTTACAGAAACAATACAACAAGATAGCAGGGAATATAATTGTGGCTTATGTATACTTTTTTCCTATTACTTATCATTAACACATACTTTTACATGTAAGTAACTTTATAATCGATGTGAAGGGACTGTCATAAACAAATGCCCACAATGAATGAAAGCAACACTGTAAAAAGTTGGGCCATTGCTCCACAATGATGTGAATACGGATAAAGTCACATGGGAAAATAGTACTACAAGTTATTGCCAGTAAATGTGGTTCTACAAGCTATGTATGTTTGTTTTCACAACTGCATGTCTTTTTCACATGACTGTATGCAACACACACAAAGATGCATGCTCATATTAAATGTGACAAAGATATAATACGGTCAGAATATGTGTGAATATCCTTGTAAGCCAAAAGCTCAGACTTCAGACTGCTCTAAAGGCTCAATTCTGTATGATGACATAAAGATATCCCCAATATGTCATCTGAGACACTAAAGCTCCTTGACCGTAAGACCTTGTTTTTATGAACGTGACCCAATCAAAAGAAAGTTAGCTGAAAGGGGGAGGAGCTAAAATTGTTTGTCTTGACAGATGATTGGTGATTATATCACCAGATGCACCAAGGTCCAGAATGAGATAAAGATTGTTTATTTTAAATAGAGTCCAAGAACACAGGTCCCCCTTTAATTTGACTCTGTTGTTATCACTACTGAGACTACGTCTGATACTGCTGCTAATTCACTGCATACAGGAGCAGACTTAAATCTGTAAAAGTGTCATTGGTGAACATATCTTCTGTTTCTTCTCTATCCTTCACTCCTCTCTTCCTCTCTTCCAGACTGATGAACTGGCTGTGAACTTGTTATGGCATGCTCTCCTTGCTACCCATCATTCAACCTCAGTATTCTGTTGCATCCATCGCCAGTGTTTAGACAGCTCCGCTCTGCCTCTGATCCCCGAGCTCCTTCCAGTGAAAATGGCTACAGAATAAGTGCCTTCTTATTCTGCTGCTTTATGAAGTGTTTTGTTCTCATAAAAAAAGATTTTTTAATAAGTGTGTTTGACTTTGATATCTCTTATCTCTTTATTATCTCTTTAAACTCCACGCCGAGTTATTAATCTGCTCCATTTACGTCTTAGTAACAAGCATTTTCATGTTTTGAAACTTTAAGGTGCCTCTTTCAGTCTCCACAGTTTTTCTTATGTCACTCTGATCTTCAGCAATAACTGTAAGAGTAATATACACTTTGTGTTATTTCCTGACTTTCTGCCATTACAAGCATCAAAGAGCAAGAAATCTGAGTTTTGGTGACTTCTCTTTGGCAAAATCATCACATTTGATAACAGCTGTGGATGTTAATAGCACAGCTGTGAGTCCAGAGGAGATGGGACCACACAGTGAGGCTTATACTTCTACGACCAGAACTATACTGCTACACTTTTTAGCTCTCAGTTATCCTCTTTAGGTTAGAAGGAAGTGGTTATAGAAGCAGATATTTCTCTCAGGATTTTGCTTTGAGACTATAGATATTAAGTGGACACAAAAAAGACATTCTGCTGTTACACGTGTAAAACACTTTTTTGTTAGCTACATCAACTGTCATGTGGAGTTTGTGGTGAGTCTTCTGCCTCCTAGTGGTCATAAATTAGATGGTACAGCTTTAATCTATTACATCAAAGTGAACTACACACATA